CATCTCTAGATGAGAGAGGCCTTGACTGAGCCTCCCCTGAGAGCCTTCCCTGCACTTAACTTCCTAGACCTTCTTTCTCCAGTGGGGAAAAAATTGAGCCACCCTCCTATTTTTCTTTGGTTTGATGGGAAGACTGATACTCAACCTAAAGAATGATTCAATTTATTTGGCTTCAGATCTGATGTGGTCTGAAGTGAAGGGAGCTGGGGAGCGGTCGGGCCGGGGAAAGGTGAGGGTGAAGGTAGGGAGCAGGCAGGCAGGAAAAGGCAGCAGGACATGGGACATGAGCTGAGGGGTTGCTCGTATCTCAGCTCTAGAGCCAAAGCCCCTTGTGCATTGCAGATGTTCGGAAAGATCGCCATGGTGGACGGGACCCAAATAAACCGGAATAACAACTTCCAGACCTTTCCACAAGCCGTGCTGCTGCTCTTCAGGCATGAGATGCCACCCCCCCCCATGGTTCCCATCTGCCCTGGGGGCAGCTCTCGCCCCCACACAAGCCCTGCACTGTGGTCCATGCCTGGCTTAACGCCCTGTGCTGTCACGTCTTGAAGATTTTGTGTTGTTATTTGGCACTGAGCCCCTCCATTGGGCAGAGTGCTGCCTGAGTCTCCAGTCTCCCTCACTGACATCAATGACACTGTCCACACCTCACCTCAATCAGCAGTGCTTGCTCTTGCTGTGACTCGAGTCCTCCACCCAAGAAAACTCTTCTCTATGGTTGAGCTCTGCTTGGAGCACCCCATGCAGGTGGAGTGGAGGGGCTGGCTGTAGCACAGAGGGGACACTACAGCCAGGCTTGCAGGTGACCCTGGGCATCTGATCTCTGTTCCTCTGGGAAGCAGCCCCAGTCAGCTCATCACACTAGTTCTGGCTCATGAGGGCCAGATAAGAGTGCACGGGCTGACAGGAGCTCCCTTCTGTTCTCCAGGTGTGCCACAGGGGAGGCCTGGCAGGAGATCCTGCTGGCCTGCAGCTATGGGAAGCTGTGTGATCCGGAGTCAGACTATGCCCCGGGTGAGGAGTACACGTGCGGTACCAACTTCGCCTACTATTACTTCATCAGCTTCTACATGCTCTGTGCCTTCCTGGTGAGAGTCCTGTGGGCCAGGGCCAGGCAGGGCTGGAGGAGTCGAGGAGGTGGGGCCTGTCTTCTCCTTCCTGGCCAGCTTCCTCCCTCCATGGACAACTTTGATTACCTCACTTGGGACTAGTGCATCATGGGCCTGGAAAGCTCTGGTTAGATTGTCCCTTGTTCTGGTCATCTTGCCTATCTTTGTTTTGTGAGCACTTTTTCCTGCCCCAGAGGGACTGCAAAAAGTTTTTACTGTATGTAGTATGTATATTATATACATTACACATATGCATTTGTGTGGGTTAACAATTAGTAATCAAGAGGAATTTGATGAAACCAAGTCTTAAATAGGTAGGGACTTCCTATAAAGACGTTTACTCCTAACTATTCCTTGGAGGAGAGAGCTGCCCCATTATGAGGAGGCTGAAACTCTGGAAACAGGTCCCACAGGGGTCCTGGTTGGAGTTAGAAACAGAACATTAGGCCAAGGGTGGTGGGGTGTGTCTATAATCCCAGCTACTCTGAAGGTGGGGGCAGGAGGATCACACTCTGAGGCTGGCCTGGGGGAAAGTGTGAGACTGTATCTGAAAGCATCCAAACTGAAAAATTCCAAAAGGACTGGTGGCATGTCTCAAGTGCTAGAGCACTTGCTTAGCAAGTGCGTGGCCCTGAGTTCAATTCCCAGTATTGGAGAGAGAGAGAAAGGGAAAGAGACAAACAGTGGCATCAGATCTCTTTGAGACTGCAGGGCTGCCATCTGTCTGTGAGGAAGGCATCCACTGGGCCCTGACTTCTGCACTCCTTTTTTTTTTTTGGTGGTATGGGGTTTGAACTCAGGGCCTCATGCATGCTGGTCAGGCACACTGCCACTTGAGGTCTCCACCAGCCCTGTTTTGTGTTGAGTTTTTCAGGATAGGGTCTTGCAAACTGGGCTGTCTTTGAACTGTGATCCTCCTGATCTCTGCCTCCTAAGTAGCTAGGATTATAAGCGTGAGCCACCAATGCCTGGCCCTTTTTTCTTTTCTATATCCACTCAAAACTTTTGAGTGCCACCATGTGCTAAGCCCTGGGCCTAGGGTAGAATTGTGAATAAAACCCAGTCCTGGGCCTGATGGAGCTCACAAGGACAGGATGAGTCCATCGTGAGCAAGCCTCATGATGCAAGGATAGACTAGTAAGGATAAAAAGGCAGGGGCAGTGAGAGGGGCCTGGGCCGGGGCATGGAGGAGGGCAGAGCATGTCTGAGTGGGGATGCAGGCTCAGAATGGAGTAGCTTCCCAAGCGCTCTCAAGCTCCCTGGCCGTGTGCCTGTGTATGCGGAGCACAGAGGCAGGGTCCAGCCTCGTTTCCTGTGGAACATGAGTCTGGCCAGAGAGTGGTGCAGAGCAGGAGGTGCTGCGGCCGTCCACCTGGTGGGCACCTCCAGCTGCCTCCAGGTCCTGCATCACTTGCCTTTCCTTGGTCCTCCTCTTGCAGATCATCAACCTCTTTGTGGCTGTCATCATGGACAATTTTGACTACCTCACTCGGGACTGGTCCATCTTGGGCCCTCATCATCTGGACGAGTTCAAGGCCATCTGGGCCGAGTATGACCCGGAGGCTAAGTGAGTCCAGTCTGCAGGCTTTGTGCTGGTCCTCCCCAGATGGTCCACCCCTCCCATCCTAGTATCCCCTAGGGACTTACTCTCTTCTTGCTTTGTTTGTCCAAGGTCCCAGCCCAGGGATGATTTTCTCAGGATTGGAAGGGTGGCAAGAACCTTGACTTTTTTTTTTCTTTTAAAAAATATTTTAATAAGCATATATTAATTATGCAAATGGGCTTTCATTATGATAATTCCATACATGCACACAATGTACTTTGATCAAATTTATTTCCCCTATTACTTTATTATTATTTTTCCCTCTTTTAAAAATAATTTTAACAGGTTTCATTATTCTAATTTCATGCATGTATATAAAGTCCTTCAACCATATTTACCACCCCTTTTGCCTTCTGTCTTCTCCCCTCCTGTTGGTACCTATCCCCCAAAAGTCCCTGTTTTACATTCCTGCCATTCGTTTTTAAGGATTAGATCCTGTATTTGAGGAGAGCATGAGGTATTTGTCTTTTTCAGTCTGGCTTATTTTGCTTAACATGATGATCTCTAGGTCTATCCTCTGTGTGTGTGTGGTGTGTGTGTGTGCGTGTGCGCGCGCGCTTTACCGGGACTTGAACTCAGGGCCTACACTTTGAGCCACTCCACCAGCCCTTTTTCGTGATGGATTTTTTCCGAGGTAGGGTCTCGTGAACTATTTGCCCAGGCTGGGATCCTCCTGATCTCTGCCTCCTGAGAAGACTCTTGACTTTGTAAGCCATCCAGCCCCTGTGTGGCCACTCCCGGGAGTGGAGACTCACTACCTCACCAGCCTGGCTTCTCAAAGTGTGCTCTGTTGACCAGCTGTATCCAGGTATGGTTAACATGCAGAGTCCTGGGTCAGGCCCAAACTGCAGAGTCAGAATCTGCGCTGTCATGAACCCTATCCTCAGGGTATTCGTAAGCGTAGTAGAGCTTGGGTGGTACTGCTGGTTTTTTTCTTAAAAAACGCAGTAAGTTCACATTTACCGAATGTTTCCCGAGTGTCAGACACTGTGCTAAGTATCACATGCGTTATCTCTTTTAATTCTTCCAACAGCCTGTGACATAGACCTTCTGATCATCTTAACCCCACAAATAAGGAAACAGGTTCAGAAGGATTCAGGTGCCCAGGGCTGTTTAAGTCAGTAAGAGACGGCACCAAGATGCACGACATGTCTGTCTGGTGTCCTGAACAAATGGGCTTTAAAGTGCTTGTGTCAGGGAGATCAGAACCTACCCGCCCCTACCAGATACCCACAAGTCCTAACCTAGCCCCTGAGACAGAAAATATTTAGTCTCCTTCACAGACAGTGGCAGAGAAAGCTGGAAGTCATAGGCCCTTCCAAAATGATTCTTCTCAAGGCAATATGCCCCTGCCTCTGGTTTCTCTGCCTTGTGCCTATTCTGGGTGTCATAGTTGCAATGAAAATGTGGTTTCCAGGAGACTGGAGCAGTCTCTGGAAGTAGACTGCCACTTTCCTTAATCCATATACTCTACTTCTATCAACCTAGCTCAAGAGGGGCTGGTGGAGTGGCACATGTTGTAGAGTACCTGCCGAGCAACTGCAAGATCCTGAGTTCAAACCCCAGTATCGCCAAGATAAATATAATAATACAGTCCAAGAGATCCTTGTCAGTTTGACCAAAACCTAAGGAAGGTTCTTGCATAGGGAAAATGAGGTCCAGATTCCAATTTGAAGATCCCTTATCCAAGAGGATACCCCCCCCCAAAAGAGAGGCTCTATCTGCCCAAAACAGAGTCCCATTTCTGGTGTTGGGCAGCAGTGTATCGAACATTGCCTCATTTTAAAAGGATACTACGTTCCCTAGTGGAAAACAGGAAGTGTGCCCTGTGCCCTGGCTACCCCTGCTTGAGCAGGGGGTAGTTTCTGGGTGGGGGCTCAGTGCATCATCTGTGTGTCATCCACAGGGGGAGGATCAAGCACCTGGATGTGGTGACCCTGCTGAGGAGGATCCAGCCCCCTCTGGGCTTTGGGAAGTTCTGCCCACACCGAGTTGCATGTAAGGTAACTGGCATTGCCAGGCAAGGGCAGCTTCCTGGGAGAGGAAGAGGCGCAGGTGCCATGGGGCCGGGCAGCTGGCAAGGGCCTGATGGATGAGTCATTGAGAGCAGTGATTTCCTGCATCCCTGTGTCAGTTTCCATTACTATACTGCATACCTGAGATAATCACATTGTAAAGAGAAATTATTTATTATGCTTACAGTTTGGGGGAGTTCAAGTCCAGGATCAGGCAGGCCCATTGCTTTTAAGACTGGTCAGTGGGGTGGGGTGGGGAGGAGAGGGAGGGGGAGGTCAGCATATCATGATGGGGGCAAAACTGCTTATCTCATGACTGGGACACAAAAGAGAAAGAGGAAGACAGAGGTCCTAAAGTCCCCTCTGAGGCTACACTCCCAATGACCTAAAACCTCTCACTAGGCTCCACCCCTTATAGTTTCCACCACCTCCCAGGAGTGCCACCCTGGGAACCCAGCTTTTAATACATGGCCTCTGAGAGACATTCCAGATCCAGACCATAGAGCCTTCAAGCCCCTTCCTGATGAGCTAAAGTCTCAACAATGTTCCCTCCTCTGCCACAATTCATTCCATCCCCTCGTGGAGGGCACTGTAGGGGTCAGCCCACATCCCAGCCCTCCTGCCCCACCCCCTCTGCCCATCGACCATGACCTGGTGAACTTGGCCTGGTCCCTGATCAGCACTAAGCAACTACCTCTCCTGCACAGCGCCTGGTGGGTATGAATATGCCTCTGAACAGTGACGGCACAGTCACCTTCAATGCCACGCTGTTTGCGCTGGTGCGCACAGCCCTCAAGATCAAGACGGAAGGTGAGGTCCCACCATCTTCTCTCAGATGGTTTCTGGCACAGATTCTGCCAAATTCCCAGAGCTAAAGCCTGGAATAAAGAGCTATGAGAAGAAGCAGCAGGGACCCAGACCATGGCCTCAAAGCCCTCATGCCCTTCAGGGCTCAAAGGAAGTCAATTTCTTTGCAGGGCTAGGTGGGGTGAGGTCACTAAGGATCTGTTCCCATACTCCTCACCCATGTTTGGATGCTAGAGGAGTACCAGTGCTAGCACAGGGGTGGGGTCCCCTGAGGTCAGCTCTGGGTGGGGGCAGAAGCAGGGCTCAATAGTGCTGGGTAGGCTTCTGGAAGTCCACCCTGACTTCATTAAACCTGTAGGTCATCACCTACCAGGAAGACAGACTTGGTGGGAGCATGGGAAGAAATCAGGGTAGGGTCAGGACCATCCCTTCCTCAGGACCATCGCAGGTGTCTGGAGCAGCCCCGGGCAGGTTCCTTTGAAGGGAAAGAAGAGGCAGGTCAGGGAATACTTGGGAAAGACCAGAGTGTGGGAGGAATTGGAGGTTTGGGGGAGGAGAGCAGGAGATGATTGCCTTAAAAGCCCCAGGCACTGGAAGCCAAGGCCTATGGGGAGTAAGTGTGTAACTCAAGGGTTGGGATGCTTCAGGGGGAAGTTGATGCCCTCAGTTCATCGCCAGTACCCAGCAGAGCTGCTGCCACAAAAGAGCACTGAGTCACATTTGCTGAACAAGTAGCTGTCTCTCGGAGAGGCTCAATGAGAACTGGGTGGTTTTATCAAGTATGACTAAATGGCATTGGGGCCACTCCTGCCTGTCCCTTGCCCCAGGTAACTTTGAGCAAGCCAATGAGGAGCTGAGGGCAATCATCAAGAAGATCTGGAAGAGGACCAGCATGAAGCTCCTGGACCAGGTCATCCCTCCAATAGGAGGTGGGTGCTGCTTTGGGAGACCAGAGTCCAGAGGCAGACCCAGAAAGGGACAAGGAGCTTCTCCAAGAAGATCCACAAGAATCCGAGAATGGCCCAAAAGCTCTGCAAATGCTTCAGATAGATGCCAGGACACGTTAGCAGGGCAGCCACCAGTCTCAGGGTGGAAAGTGACCATTGGCCCAAGTCAGGGAGGGCCTGGGGACCTGGATCTAGCTACCTCTGGCACCCACAAGAGTCCAGAGCCAGATCCTACCAGCCTTCAGGACCTCCTTTCTTGGCTTCTCTGCAGATGATGAGGTGACAGTGGGGAAGTTCTATGCAACATTCCTCATCCAAGAACACTTCCGGAAGTTCATGAAGCGTCAGGAAGAATATTATGGATATCGGCCCAAGAAGGACACTGTACAGATCCAGGTAAGCCCAACTCCCCAGGCAGGTTCCCAGGGACACCCTGCTGATCCAAGTCTCCAGGCTCCAGGTCCTGCTTTGTGTCCTCAGACTGGAGAGGGAGGCAGAGAGGAAAGAAAGGAGGCTGGAGGAGTAGGAAATGAGGTGCTAGTTCTGGATGGTCCACTACAGAAGGTGTTTCAACCTCAGAGAAGAACCAGGAGCTCCTTATCTCTGGATGATAGGGCCAAAGAAAATAAGGTTTCTTCAAAGGAGAGACTTAGATAGAACAGTAGTCAGCAAAGAAAGCAGATCACCCAGAGCACTTAAAGTGCTCCATTGGATATGAAAAGAAAGTGTTAGAACTTCCTATTTTATCGCATGTGGGGTTTTTTCCTATTTTTGTGTTAATTGTGATGCACATAATTTGAACAGTCAAAAATAAACATGCGGATTTGGGCTGTGTGCTCAAAATTTATTTGAATTGCCATTTTTATTTTGAAATAATCATATACTTTAAAAAGTTGCAAGTATGGAACAAAAAAAAAAAACCCCTTTTTTTCCCTAAAACATATAACAGTAACTCTAACATGATATTCTATCAACCCATAACACTTTAGTGTCTATTTCCTGCAAATACATAATCACAATACAACCACTAAAATCAGGAAATTAATGCTGATATATTACTACTACTTAATTCCCAGACCATATTCAGATTTACCAGTTGTCCCAATAATGTCCTCTATAGCCAAAGAGTCCAATCCAGAGTCACATGCCACCAAGAGTTGCCATCTTTCCTTAGTTGCTTCTTCCTGGAACAATTCCTCATTGTTTCTGTAACATGACCTTGACATTTTTTATTACAAGCCAGGACGTCCCCACATTGAGTATGTCTGATGCTTCCTCATGCTAGATATAACATATGCATCTTGAATAAGAATGCCACAGAAGGATACTGGTTCCTCACTGCAAATTATCAAGTGACAACAATTTTGATTTGTCCCGTTGTTGGTGGCATGAACATTGATTAGCTCAAAAAAAACCAAACCAATAAAGAAATTTCTCTACTCAGAGGCCTGGGGAGGTTAGGAAATCTCTACCCACAGGGTCAAGAAAAGACTCTGGGAACAATGTAGAGTGAGGGCTATCACCGAGGTGAGAACAGGACCTGGGGGCCTCTGAGACACTGATGTTCCAGGAGGAAAAGCAGTCTTCAGGAGAGCCATGGTGTAGGAATTAAATGTAGGGGAAGCAGTTCCCATCTCCACTCCTGGATGAGAGTCACCAGGTCACTTTATCCCCAGGCTGGACTGCGGACCATAGAGGAAGAGGCAGCCCCCGAGATCCACCGCACCATCTCAGGAGACCTGACAGCTGAGGAGGAGCTGGAGAGAGCTGCAGTGGAAGCTGCGATGGAGGAGGGAATATTCCGAGTGAGCGAGGGCCATGATCACTACTGGTGGCCTGGACACAGGGAGTGGTAACAGAGAGAAGTGTCAGGTGCCCAGTCCCACAGGAGACGAACATGGGAGCTGAAGACACCCTTCTCCATACCTGCCACTCTTGGGACTCAGAATTAATGACCCACCTACCTAGGTGTCAAACATAACACAACCTTTCCTGTTAATCCACAAACCCTTTACCCTATGCCATCTCCCAAGAACTTGCTTCCACTTAGGTCAGTGTTCAATCCTTAACTCTGCTAAGTGTTTTTTATAACATTTAGAGCTGGGAGATTCTTCATGGCCATCTTGTTAAACCCTTTGGGTTATTCACGAGGAAATAATGGCCCAAAGAGGTCATATGTGATTCCCACTATCGCTCAGTTTTCCATGGAAGGACAGCGATGACTAGAACCCAGGAGTGCAGACTCCCAATTTGGTGCTTTCTCCACTACACCACAATCTCTAACTGTATGTCCATGTCTCCTGTATGGCTCCTTAGGTATGTCCAGTCCACTCAATAAATTGAGACCTTGCTGAGGATAGGGCTTCTCTTCGTCTGGTCTCACCTCTCAGTCCATTCTCTCCTGGCCTTATAATTTGTCTCCAATCCCATGACTTATTCCCACACCATCATCCCAGGGCCTCAGACCCCAGTGTTTCCCTGTTCTCATCCCCCAGTCCCTGCTCTCAGTCCTCCCACTCTCCTCCTTGCCTCTAGAGGACCGGAGGCCTGTTTGGCCAAGTGGACAACTTCATGGAAAGGACCAACTCACTGCCCCCTGTCATGGCCAACCAAAGACCCCTCCAATTTGCTGAGATAGAAATGGAGGAACTGGAGTCACCCGTCTTCTTGGAGGATTTCCCTCATGATCCAAGGACCCACCCTCTTGCTCACGCTAATACCAACAATGCCAATGCCAATGTTGCCTATGGCAACTGCAACCATAGCAACAGCCAGGTGTTTTCCAGGTAATGGTGGCAACTGCTAACTCTGGGTGTAGGAGTACTGGGATAGGATTTAGAGGACTAGATTAACAGGCTCCAGGCTAGATTGGAAGAAGGAACCCTGAAATTTGTAGGGTGTCCTTTGTTTGCCTTTGTGCCCTTGGCAACCAGTCCTGCACCTTAATGCAAGGCTGACCTGGACTGCAGAGGGGCATTAGTCAGCAGGGGGCAGCCTCCTGTCAGCATTAGCCTGATGCTGACTGGGTCTTTCATTCTGTCCACAGCAGGTCTGGGCTGAGAGGTATTAGACGTATTACAGGTTAGAAGGAGAGGGCGTCCAGCAGCAGCTCATACACAGAAAACTGGACAATATTCCTTGGATTCAGCATCCAAGGAGATCTCACTGTGCTGGGTAGTTCCCACTTTGCCAACCCCTGGCACTAGGCTAAATGTAATCTGTGATTGTGTGAGTGTCACGAAAAGCGATAGAATGAAGAGGATTCCTGCTCAGCTGCTATAATCTTAGGACTGGTCTCTGAGCAGGAGGCAGCTGAGTGGAGGTCTCTTTGGGCAGGATGGGGCAGAAGCCAGCTAAGCAGCTACTTCCCGTGGCTAGCCTGCCTACACCCCCACTCCAGCTAGAGAGTCCTCTTGAATCCAGCCCAGAAAGCTTTAGGGTGTACATACCTTTGCATCACCGTGAAGCTGTGTGGTATGGAAACAGAGAAGCATCAGCCCTGCTGTTGGAGATGTGTCATGTGATATGACTGCAACCAAGTAATTGCAGAGATTAGGTGTCCTGAGACACCAGAGGAGGTATTGATCACCATGGGCTAGAAAGGCCCAGACAGTTCTCAGCCCCAGCTGCATTCTAGAAAATCCAAGGACTGTCAAAAATCCCAATGTCTAGGGATGTGACACTGCTCTTTTAAGCTCCCCAGTAAGAACTAGGGTCCTAAGGGTTGTGGGACTGTGTTGAATGTGGGAAGGAATGAGGGAGCAGTGAGCAGGAGTGGAGACAGACATGTGTTTGATTTATTCTCATAGAATCAGGGCTGGCTGGGTGCAGTGCTGGTAGGATCAGCACTGCAGTCAAGGACCCAGCACTATGATTGGTCCAGACTCTGAGGAAGAACGATATGGGGCCAAGGGGCTGAGATGGCAGAGACCAGCAGCCTGCTCTGGTTCACTAGTCTTGCTTCCATTTCAGCATTTGCTATGAAAGGGAGTTCCCTGGAGAGATGGAGACACCTGCTGCCAGAGGAGGAGCCTTCAGACAAGCCCACAGGGCCCTGGGTCAGTCCCTTCTGCGCACAGAGAAACTAAGCTTTCTAAGGAGGCCTGGGGAGCTCCCTCTTTCCTTAGAATCTGGAGCCTGGCTAGGAGGGCTGCTTGGAGCTGTTGCAACAGGTGCCAGCTGGGCCAGGATGGTAGTACCATTATCTTGCTGAGGTGGGCACCAACTGAGTGGGTGGGTTAAGGGGTGCATTCTAACAGGCATTCTGCAGGCCTGCCAGGAACCATGAAGGAGCCAAGTGTGAGTCTCCCTCTCCCAGGCCACTGGACACATGACACCTGAGCTCCAGGGCCCTTTGGCAGGTGATCTTGCATTGTCCCAGTGGGTCCTGGACAACTGTGTGGCTGGACCTGAGCTACTGTGAGAGCCCCAAGCACTCTGGGGTCTAATGATGATAAGGGTATTCCTCTGTCCCCAGCAGGCATGCATACACACACATTTTCATATGCATGTGCACACACTCCACATGTACACACACTCGTACACACATACTTTCACATGCACACAAGGACCCCTGAAAAACAGGTTGGTTGCAGACTCTGCCCTGGGCCCCTCAAAGACATACAGCCAAACCCACAAGGACATACAGCCAGGCAAGGAGAGTTGGAGCAGTTGCCCCTGGTCTGGGGTTGTGTGGACTCCAACATTTGTCCACCCTCTAAGCCACCTTCTGCAGCTGGCCAAGTGAGGCTGTTGACCTAGGGCTCCTAGCAAGAGTCATCAAACCCGCTCGTCTTTGTGTACTTGTTCACAGGGCCCCACAGCAAACCCCGGGTGGACAAGATGGAAGGATGGCTGAACCAGAGGGGACTGCCCCAAGGCCAGGTGCCCCCTGTCCCCGGCCAGGTAACAAGGGCAGAGGTTGGAAAGAAACACTACACACGTCTCCTCCCAACCGTAGCCCGAAGCTAGGAGTGGGGCTATGGCAGGGGGAGGGCCCAGCAGCAAGTTGCCTATCCATAACAGAAGGATCTGAGTTCCTGGGCCCTCCCATTTCTGTGGGTCTCAGTTGAGGTGCCCTTGGATGAGTTGGGATGAGTTGAATATATGGGCTTCAGCCTCCCTGTTGGGGGATCTCTCCTTTTGTGCATTGGAACAGCACCCCAAGGCAGAACCTCCTGTGAGTGAAGAGAAGAAGAGCTTCGCTCCAGGATCTCTAGAAAGTCCCCACAGCAGGAGCCCTGAGGAGAGTGCTCCCCGGTGCCCAGCTACAGCTATGGCCCTCCTGATCCAGGAGGTAAGGTGGGACTGGATCAGGAGGGCCATAGCTGTAGGGATGGCCCCGTGACCATCTGGCATGGAAAGAGGGTAGGGCCAGCAGTGACAGGCCCTTGCCCAGCTTCCTCTCCTCCCTGCAGGCTCTGGTTCAAGAAGGCCTGGACTCCTTGGCTACAGATGCTAACTTCATCATGGCAACAGGTCAGGCCCTGGCAGATGCCTGCGGGATGGAACCAGAAGAAGTGGAGGTGGCAGCCACAGAGCTACTGAAGGAACGAGTAATCCCCAGAGGACACAGCCAGTGCACTGGGAGGCCTGAGCCTCCGCTCTCCTCTGGGCAACCTTGACCAGCAGGAGGGGTCCCAGGAGACTCTTATTCCTCCCAGGCTGTGAGGCTTGCTCAGAATCTGCCTGGGCTTAGAGCTGGCATGACCAAGGGGTAGAGAGTGCCAGAATGGAGAAAGGATCACCCATTCCAGCAGCTTCCTTCCCTCTGGGTGGTCAGACACCAGTCTAGGTGGGGTGGTCAGGAACCATCTCTGAAAGCCAGGAGGCCGTGTAGACAGCAGGACAGGCCCTTCCCCTCGCCAGCAAGAAGCATACTTGAATAAGCTTCTGAAGTAATTTAAAAACTTCTGGTGAGTGCCAATGTCTTTATGTCACAAGGCCACTCCCACCAGCAGGACATTAAAGTCTCCAGGCCTGTCACACCAACACCTGGTCTCTGCTTGTCTCCTTTTGTGAACTCTTCCCCACAGCCTGTTTCCCTCTTGCCTCTTCCTCAAGGAGCCTGGGCCTTGGAGAACTGAGGGTCCACCTGCATTTTTATTCAGCTCCATGTGGAGCACAGTGTTCTCCTGCAAGTCCATGGCCAGGTGCACTGAGGCAAGCAGCCCCAAGAAGGACTGGTCATCTTAGAAGAAGCGCCACACCCTGGTCACACACAGCCAGCCTTCTTTGAAGCTATGAGCATGTCTGTTTGGCCAGAGTCCACTGCCAACGCAGCTTGTAGCCCTCAGCTGCACTGGGTTTATGGCCGCGGTTATCACAAATCTGCAGGTCCTGTGGCTTCCCTTACCCACACCACATAACGATGAGTAATAGTGACTGCTGTGTCCCAGGTGCCTCCTGTGTGCCGCTACATACATGCTCTCGCGCCACAGGTCTTCTACACGTATGTACCAAGCACTTTCACACACTATCCATTTTATTCTCACCACAACCTTGTGACAAAGGCATAGAATTCGTTCAAGATGAGGAAATGGAGGTACAGAGGGATGACAGGCCATGTCTGTGGGGCATAGCTGAAGAGAGGCAAAGTTGGGACTCTGCACTGGGCCTCAGAGTCCCCATGGTGCTCTCTACCCTTCACTGGACACTCTTTCCTTAGGGCCATTCCTTCATTAAGCGTGGGCTGAGCACATGGCCATTGCTGTGGTGGTCAACATGGCCTATGGTGTGACCTCCTGGTGAACACCCAGCAGGCTTCTGGCATGACTAAGAAGGGACTTGACTCAGGATGCAAGTAGCACCAGTCAGGGTCACACACTTGGCACATCTGTGGGTTGTGGTCCAGTGGGGCCCCAAAGCTTCCTGGTGCCTGCTCAGTGCAGCAGTTTCAAGTCTCCTCTCTTCTCAAACCTCAATACCAGTAGCTTGTCTTATCCCTCCTTTGCTAAGGAATAGAAGCCTCCAGAAGGCCCTTCTCTCAGCTCTGCTCCATGTGGAGCACGGTGTTCTCCTGCAAGTCCATGGCCAGGAGCACTGAGCCAAGCAGCCCCAAGAAGGACTGGTGGTCTTAGAAGGGAGGTAAGAGAAGGCCTACCTCCTCCTTTCTTCCTGAACCCAGTGGGAGCCAGATCTCTCCTTTAGCCACACCCTGGCCATCCTCCCTTCTCCCTGCCTCTCTACTGCCTTCTTCTATCTGCATGTAACCTGTTCCAGTTGTTTCCATCTTAACATAACCCTGCAGCCTGCCCCTCTCTCTGTCTGTCTATCTACCTATCTGTCTTTATCTATCTACCTATCTCTGTCTGTTTCCACTATTGAGGACCACACTTCTCACCTGGGTGGTCTCCTTGTCTTCATTTCCATTTCTACTTCCCATGTCTCAGCCCCATGCAGACTGCCTTCTGCCCCACTCCTTCCCCATACTCCCCAGTATCACTAACTTGTTGCTAATCCAGAGGACCATCTTAGATTCCCCTTGACCTCTAGGCAACCTTAGGTACAGTTTACCTCTGTCCTCCAAGTCTCAGATTTCTTGAATTTCCTGCCACCTCTCAACTGTTCCAATGTGAAGCTTCCTGAGTCCTCCACCTGACTGACCTCTATTCATCCTTCAAACCTCTATTTTACTATTATTTCCTACGCAAAACTCTCCCTGAACATTCCTGCCTATAGCCTAGCAGAAATTCAGCAATCCATCTTTTCCCATTCCATCAGGAACTAGGGCCTAGCCGTAACTGCTTTTTGCCCCAGACAGACTCTGAGTTCCACAAAAGCAGGAGCTGTGTCTACCTTGTTCATAGTTACCCTGCCAGGGCTGAGCACCTGTCACCACTCAGCAGTTGCTTTTTTTTTTTTTTTGCCAGTCCTGGGGCTTGAACTCAGGGCCTTCACCTTGAGCCACTCCACTGCCCAATTTTTTGTGATAGGGTTTTCGAGATAGGGTCTCACAAACTATTTGCCCAGGCTGGCTTCGAACTGTGATCCTCTTGATTTCTGTCTCCTGAGTAGCTAGGATTATAAGCATGAGCCTCCAGCACATGGCAGCAGCTTCTTTTTAAATAAATGCCTATGGCAGGATTGCTGCCCATCATCACCTGCTCAGCTCTGTGTCCTTTGTCACCTTGGCCATCCATCTAGGCCAAGGAGAGCTGGGTGGCAGAGGTCTGCCTTCAGATGTGACCTGCTGAACTCCACACACCAGCTCCTTATGAAGGAGAGAACACCAAATCTACCTACAGCTTTCATTGTTTCCATTGCTGCTCTGTGAGATAAGGTGCAATCTATCTTCTTCTGCTGGCAACTTCTATAAAAGGTATTTTACTCATAAGAGGTGAGCAAGCATCTTGTATTCCTAACTACTAAATATAGAAAGCTACCTATACATCAGGTCCTATTCCAACAGTTTTGCACATATTAATGTATTCAGTTTTCTTAGCAATTAAGAAAGGAATCATCCTCATTTTGCAAAGAAGGCACAGACAGGATAAGTAAACTTGCCTAGGTTCACACAGATGGTAAGAGGGCCAAGGAGGGCGTCAAGCCTAGGCAATTTAGCATCAAATTCTATCTCCTTAACTGCTATTCTGGTGATCAAATCTATGCTATTCCTGCCTGGCTGACAGTCATATCGATGCACACAGGCTCTGGAATGCTTGCCTGTTAGCTCTTCATGCTTTTGAAAAGTTCTGGCAGTTTTCTTCGTTCTAATTTTTCAGAATATGCAAAACCCTGCCTCCACCCAGCCTTGCTTGACCTAACAGGGCAGCCAGGTTGCTCAAGTAAAGCCCAAGAGGAATGACTGGTAGAGGATAGGTGCTGAAGAGAGAATGAGAGGGAGTAGGCAGGTTTCAGATGAGACCGATGCCCTTCTCAGCAGGACCATGGGGACAGATGGGGCCACCTTCTGTCACTGGGGGGCACTGGCCAGGGACAGTGTCTGCCAGGCCCCTGTCTACTCCTAATAGTTCCCTACAGATTTGGGACTCAGCTGTTGGGTGGGGACACTGCCAGAAGGTGCGGAGGTGTTGCTGCTGGGAGGGTGAGCACAAAGCAATGTGGGGACTAGGGGGGATCCTCCAACTGGAAGGTGCAAGGTTCAGATAGAGAGTCCCTGGAAAAGCCAAAGAGAGTGGGCCCCAGTTCTAGTCCATCCTCAGCAGGCACATGCCTGCTTCTGGCTCTGGGGCAGACAAACAGCCTGCTCTGGATAGGACTGAGTTTCTCCCATTAAGCTGCCTCTTCTGGGATTCATTTTATTATTTATATTTTTGTGGTGGTGGTGGTGGTAGGATCTGGTTCCAGGGCCTTATGCATGCTAGGCAGGTGCTCTACCACTGAGCAGCACCCCAGTCCATCTCCTGGCATTCTTAAAGGAGAGCTATGGTCACTCTTCTTAGGAGAGTGTTTAAGGACAGAACCTTAGCAGCCAGACATTTTTGGATCTGAACCTCATTCCCCTACTTCTATGTCATGTAAGGGTCTTTTATGTTTCTGTTCCTTCCTCTGTAAGATGGGAGAGTGGTTTTCACTTCCAGGCTTGTGTAGGGTATGAGTGACCATGTAAGGACCTGAGACCTGGTAAGAAGCTGTAGCTTTGATCCTATGAGATGCTAGCTAATATGGGGAGGGGAGGGGGCAGATCTCTAAGACAGAAAGAAGCTGACCTAAGGTGGGGTGGTCCTGGGCTTTTTAGGGAAGCCTGGTGGCAATCACACTCAGCGCACACACTAGGCAGCAGGCCTAGCCCTCTTACAGGCCAATACCTCTCACCTGACCATGATGGTTGTGGGTGGAGGCTGGCTCTTACCTCAGACCACTGTAGAAGGCCTTCTACCCCCCAGAGCTGACCTTGACCCATACCTTGAATTTCATAGGAACTTACCGCTGTTCTCCTGGCACTGATCCCAGTAACGTGTCATTTCTGCCTTAGGGAAGACAGTTCAGAATACGAGCTGGCTCCCCTTCCCCCATAGGCTGTCCTGCCGCCATTTCACTGAGGAGGCACTGAGGGTCCAGGCCCCATAGCTGGTAAGCAACAGAACTAGAATCTGCCTCAAGTTTTGTAGTCCTTTCCCTTGTATCACACAACTATTCCCCGACATGGAACCTAAAATCCTGTGAGGGAACCAAGTCACTGAGGCATTTGTAAAAGAAACTGGCCATAAACAAAGGGGGAAAGCCATAATTCTGGTGTGAAAACCAATGGAAAATGGTAGAATACCTGCAGCTCCAGAGGACTGACTTGACTGGGTTAAAAGTGAAATGAGCAGAAGAGGCAATTCCAGGCACATTGCTGAGGAAGGAAACCAAGAGCCACAGACACAGACACCATTGCATCAATGACAGGAGCCAGGAAGGGACCCTGGGCTCCCTCCTGAGAGCTTCAGAAAGGTGACAGTGAAATAAGAGGACAGCCTGTTTCCATTTCTTGTGTGTTCTTGTACAAGTGTCTCTGTCCCTCGATTTCCTCATCTATAGAGGCCTGGCTCATTGAACACATTGCTTTAACACCTCATTTAATCTTTGCTGCACTCCCTAATTCCATTTTATGATGAGAAAACTGAGGCTCTGACAAGCTGAGTGAATTATGTGACATTACTTGGCCACACAATGGTGGGGCCAGGCATCTAAAGAGAACCTGGTCCATATTCCTAAACTGTTTGCTTCTTGTATTATTGTGGGGACAGGGCCGTCACCCCCAGCCCCACTTCATCATCTACTGACCTGGCCCCAGATTCTTTGCACAGCCTTCTGAGCACCAGACCATGCAGCCAGCTCAGTCTCTCCCTCTTTGTCCAGGCCACATTCCCTGAGCCCCCCCAGGACAGTGTCTTTCTGTCCTCCTGTCTCTGCATAGCAGGATCCCTCACAAGCCTTGTCTGAACCCCCCTCCCAAGTAAACTTGCTGCTTTCTTGGTGCTTTTAGAGTAGTCAATGATTTTTTTGTGTGTGTGGTACTGGAGCTTGAACTCAGGGCCTTCACCTTGAGCCACTCCACCAGTCCTATTTTTGTGAAGCATTTTTTGAGATAGGATCTCGTAAACTATTTGCACAGGCTGGCTTTGAACCGAGATCCCCCGATCTCTGCCTCCTGAGTAGCTAGGATTATAGGCGTGAGCTACTGGCACCTGGCTATACTCAACGATTTTTATTGTGGCATTTATTACACTGTATCATAATTAGAGGTTTACAGTTTGTCCTTTCCAAGGGTACTGTGAATTTCTCAAGAGCAGAGACTGAGTCTTTATCAACTTCGTGTCCTCACCAAAGGAGAAAGGAGGGAAAGAAAAAGGGAGGGAGGGAGAATGCAAAAGATATGCATTGTGTTGAACTATTTGAGATTGCCAGTATTCTACACAATGACAGCTTTATAATATTTAACCTCCTATCCTGCAGGCAGGTTTCCCCACTGTCTACCACCCTCTGGCTGTCCCTGTTCCTGGCATTTTGTTTGGGGGGCTGTTTATACACACATTGACCACACGAGATGTCTTGGATGGGGACTCACCAAGGTGGGCATCCTATGCAAGGTAGGTTTTGGGCAAGTGTGCAGGTCAGGATTGATGGAGCTTCTGCACTTATTACTGAGCCTGGTTCTCAGCCTCCTCTGAGGGGCAAAGTGGAGTCTCATTATTTAGGACAACTTGGGGCTTGACCTCTGCTAAGGTCCTCCCTTCTCCTTGGCCAGCACAAGGGACCCATATCTGCCCGTGTTGGGGTTGATGGGAGACTGAGGACGGGCCTCTTCCTCTGGGCTCTTTCTAATTTTGGTTATGACTTAGAGTTTTTGCCCCACCCAGTCTGGACCTTCCATTTGGATCCTCCAACTCATTTTGAAAGTTAAATAGAAAAAAAGGAAAAAAAAAAAAAAAAAAAGCTTTTTCATGCTTGTCTGCATCCTCATCCAACCTTCCCGATTCCCTAACTCTGCTCAAGGCAACTCATGTCTTCTGTCTACAAGTCCAAGTGTCAGGAAACACGGGGCTGGGAGAGGACCCAGATGAACTTTTCCTGAGTTATGTCACCTCCAGCCAACTTGACTGTCTTAGTCAAAGGGCCTTTGAAATGCTCCTAAAGCCACCCTATGAAAGCCAGCCCACAGTGCCTGGAGAGCTGGCCTCCGCTGCACCCCTCAGATACTCATTCTGGTTACATCTCTGGGGGAACTGGCACTGGCTGGTTAACCTCCTGGGACTCCCCCTGTCCTCTCCGTTTTTTAAAGTGTTAAGTGCTCATTTGCTGGCAATTTGCTCTGTAGAGTCTGTCCAAGGCAATTGTCTACTAAAATCCAAGGAAAAGATGCACCCTTGGAGACCAAAAACCAATAGCTTCAGGATGGGGGTAGTATTTGGGAACTTAATCAGATGGAAGGGTGATCG